GGCAGTTGGAAACTACCAGCCGTTCCACGGGAGAATAAGACTTTCTGCTCCCCTAAAGATTTACAGCCTTGGAAACCCTGTGCAGGGTCACTATGAGTCGGAACCGACTCCATGGTACTTAACAACAACAACAACTTCCAGTGTCCTCAGTAATTATTATTATAGATCAGTGGTCTAATGTCCTAGGTAGTTGATTCAAATGGTGAAGTGCTCAACTACTAGCTAAAAGATTAGTGGTTCTAATCCACCCAGAGGCACCTCAGAAGAGAGCCGTGGCAATCTGCTTCCAATAGTCAGTCTTGAAAACCTTATGAGGCTCAGTTCTACTCTGCACACATGGGGTCACCAAGCGTCAGAATCAACTTAAATGGCAAAAAAAACCAAACCCAAAACTGGCGCTGAACTCTGGTAGCGCAGTGGTTACGAACTGGGCTGCGAATCGCAAGGTCAACAGTTCGAAACTACCAACTGTTCCGAGGGAGAAAAATGAGGCTTTTTGCTCACATAAATATTTACAGCCTCGGAAACCCTGTTCAGGGTCGCTATGAGTCGGAACCAACTCTACAGCACACAACAACAACAAATGGCTTAATACGCTGGACTGCAAAGTCACTGTGAACCACAAGGTCAGCGGTTCAAGCTCACCAACTGCTCTTCCAAAATCCTATACAGGATGACTATGGGTCAGAATTGACCCAACGGCAATTAACAACCACCACCATAGAGTTGCATCTTCATAGACCTCCCCTGGCCTTTTACATTTTTCCAAATATCTCATCACAAATTAGTGGGTGAACTTATTCACATTATAAAATAATTTCATTTCTGTAGTTTCACAAGTAGAATTGTGCTCCATAGGATTTACAATGGTTGTCTTTTTTTTTTTCTCTTCTCGGGTTGCCAGACTTTTCTTACCAGCTACGTCTGAGTAGAGTGGAACCTCCAAATCTTTTTAGTTGGCAGTGGAGTGCGTTAGCCATTTATACCACTCAGGAAGGAACCCCCTCATAAAGATCAGTGTCCTTTTAAATCTAGCCTGAGCAACTGCTTGACTGTTAAGTGTTATGGAGTCGGTTCTGATTCATAGTGACCCTGTATAGGGTGTTCCAGGAGCAACTGGTGGGTTTGAACCTCAGATCTTGTGGTCAGCAGTACGTGCTTATACTACAGCGTCACACCAGGGCCAACACTTTAAAGAGATCTTTAGCAGGAGTACCAACATCATTCTGAGGGTATCCTGATACACATTTTCTAAGGGTATAGCTCCCTGGACGTTTCTAGACTCTGGATCGACCCAGACTAAGATGTTTTCGCCATCGGAGGCCAACGGCTGGGCCAGCGGCGAGCCTGAGAGGGCAGCGGAAAGAGTTTGGGGTCTTTAGTAAAAGAACCCCCTTTCTGAGTGCTCAGAGCACGTCCACCTTAGTTCGGTTCAGGGCAGTAGCCCAAAAAGCACAAAGAGGAGCGGGGCGGACACCAAAGCGGCCACGCGCACTCGTATCACCCAGAGCCGACTCCAAGGTTTGAGTTTGGGCCTCTCACTGGGAGTTCACACTCCGTCCCTTCCGACACAGGTAACACCTTGCAGCAACTCGCCCGTAGTTCGCGGCCCTGCGGCTCCGCACCGACGGCTTCTCGGGCCCGCGCACCACGGCCTCCTGCCCGACTCTAAGATGGCGACTATGCCCCGCCCCCGGTGAGCGCCCCGCCCCTCCTCCCCGTCGTGGGACCGCGCCGCGCGCTCCCGTCACCCCTCCCCGCGCGAGCTCCACCCAGGTCGCAGGCAGCGCGGTCGGCAGCGCCCGTTTCCCGCCATTGTGCGAAGTGGAGGTTGGGGGCCCGCGCGCCGCGCCTGCCGGTCGCCAGTAGTTGGTCGGCGGCGCCCTCCTCAGCCGCCGCTCCCTGACGCGTGGGGAGGTCGGGCGGCCAGCGCGCCGAGGCTCGTCCTGCGTGGGAGGGTGCGGCGGGGAGCGGCCGAAGCCGGGAGAAGGGGCGCCGGCCGCCCGGACGCGTTCGCCCGCGGATCTGCCACCTCCGGGGCAGCGCCGGCTCGTCGGCGAGATGCCCTGCGGGGAGGACTGGCTCAGCCACCCGCTCGGGATCGTGCAGGGCTTCTTTGGTGAGTGGCGGCGCCGGGGGCGGGCCGCGGAGTTGGCGAGTCCCGGGCCC